ACACGGTAAAGGCATGGCACCCCCCGACAAACATCACGGAACTGCAGAGTTTTTTGGGTTTTGTTAATTACGTACGCCGGTTCGTCCCTGACATGGCACGCTTAACGGCCCCGCTTACGGATTTGCTGAGGAAGGGGGTCGCTTTTACGTGGGGGGGAGAAAGAGCATGCTGCCTTCTCCACCCTAAAAAATGTTCTCTGTTCACCGCCGGTACTGCGCATCGCCGACACACACCGCCCATTCGAAGTAGTTACTGATGCAAGCGACATCGCCATCGGAGCCGTACTGCTCCAAGACTTCGGCAACGGGTTACAGCCCATCGCCTACGAATCACGAAAACTGCATCAACCTGAGAAGAATTATCCGATACATGATCGCGAAATGCTTGCGATCGTGCATGCGTTCAAAGTGTGGCGCTGTTACTTGACTGGCACCGACGTGACAGTACGAACAGATCACAAATCACTACAGTACCTCCGCGCACAACCCCACCTCAACCCACGACAGATCCGCTGGCTCGACACCCTCGAGTCGAACTTTCACTACACGGTTACCTACAAAAAAGGGGCATCGAACATCGCCGATGCATTAACCCGACCCACAGCCCAAGTTCACGCCATACTACTCGCCCAGACCAGCCCACTGTTAACAGGCCTATTTACCCACGGTTACCAAACTGACCCATTTTTTACAGGCGGAAACTCGCAGCAATTTGCAGCAGCAAGAGGAGTCTATTACGTAAAAGCCGGCACCGATCGCATCTGGGTACCGGGCTACACACTTCTACGGGAATTACTGTTGCAGGAGGCACACGACGGGGTTACCTCAGGGCATTTTGGAGTAGAGAAAACACGGCAGCAGCTGCAGCGGTATTACTACTGGCCCGAAATATTGACCGACGTGCAACGACACGTGGCATCGTGTCCCACCTGCCAGGTCATGAAATCATCACGGAAGCGGCCGGCAGGACAATTGCAGCCGATACCACCCCCAAAGCGTGCTTGGCAGCAGGTGACGATGGACTTCGTAACGGGGTTACCGGTGGGTGCAAGTGGGAACGACGCGATCTTGGTCATCGTCGATCGACTGACGAAAATGGCACATTTCGCAGCATGCAAGAAATCGATCACAGCCGAAGAAACGGCCCGCCTCTTCATCGCAACCGTTGTTCGATTACACGGGATACCAGCGGCGATAATCAGCGACCGAGACACGAAGTTTACCAGCAATTTCTGGCGGAACCTGTGGCAGCAGTTCGGCACGAGGCTGCAGTTCAGTTCTTCGTACCACCCCGAAACCGACGGACAGACAGAACGGACAAACCAAACCATGGAACAGTTAATCCGGGCCACGTGCGACGACCCCACCACCTGGGAACAGCAACTTCCACTAATCGAGTTCGCGTACAACAACTCGCCATCCGTCACGACCCAACAGTCACCATTTTACCTAAACTACGGACAAGACCCTACAGTACCCATGACCCCGAATCCCGACAACCCGGTACCACGAGCGCAACAGTTCGCAGAAATCTTACAGGAAGCTCGGACCAGGGCAGCAGACGCAATTAAAAAAGCAAATGTTATCGCTAAACGCAACGCCTACCGCCACCGCCGACCCGTCACTTACCAGCCCGACGACTTAATTTTACTCGACACTCAAAATCTCCGCCTGCCCATAACGCCAAAACTCCGACACCGATATTGTGGGCCATTCCGAATCAGCCACATGGTCACACCAGTCACCGCCCACCTCCTCCTCCCCGCTGACTGGTACGTCAGCCCCTCCTTCCACGTCAGCCTACTTCGCCCCTACATCCCATCCACCAGCCAACTGGCCCGACAGCGCCCAGCCAGCATGACCCGACCACTGACCGAGCCAGTCATCACGCCCGAAAAGATTCTGAGCCACCGATTTCGTGACCCGCGAGGAGCCCGAAGGGTCGAATTTTTAATACGCTGGAGAGACCGCACACCCACCGAAGATAACTGGGTTCCACTGGACAAGATCGAAAACCACCCCGTCCACAACGACTACTTACGCAGCAGAAATTTCCGGGACATACACGCGCTCTCGTAAAGGAGGCCTCCTTGAGGGAGGGGGTAGTGTAAGGAAAAACCCTTTTTCTTACTTAGCATCCCTGCTCAGCGCGTACAACACTGACAGCACCCCACAATATCCCGTTACCACTCGCGACATTCGCCCCGACACCGTTCCCGCCACTGTTCACGATGCGACCCAACCACACGGTCCGGTTGGTAACCCGCGCTCCGGACCTCCGCCTCGACAGTTCCCCAAACCTCGGCATTAGACCCGTCGCGCACCCAATTTTCCCACGTTACCGTTACCACCATAGTTTCGCTATATATTCTTCGCTCATTCCTTCGCTCATTTGTATCTTGTCTCGATAGTGCAATCCTCGTTCGCTCACTCAATTGCACTCGTAACAATTTCCTAGGTTAGAAGCATTCCGATATGTTATTGTAGTTATAGCACCGAATCAGGTTATATGTGCCAAACTCAAGCCTTTCGGTTGCCACCGAATTGCTTTCTGCCGAGTTCGAGAATGTTCTGTTCGGGACGCTTCGCGACCCTCAAAACATTCGCGTAACACCTGGGTTACCTACCTTGTGTCGAGACTATATATAGCCTCGTGTTGTACCCAAGTGAATCAATTAATATTCGTTCTTCAATTCTGAACTCGATCCCAGATCCTCACACTTGGTAATCAGAGCCGTTTACACGCGATTTTTTTTCGACCACTAAAACCCTGTCTTCAAAAACCGCGGGGGCGACGAACGTTAAACACCGATCTCGGGTACGTAAAACCAGTTCTGTGCTTTTCACTCCCCCTCGTTTTCGTTTTTTCGGATGCGCAATGTCAGGAATGGAGGGCAGTGGCGAAAATTTCATCACTCAAGTCGCAACCCTTCGCACGGAGATGGACCAGACGTGGGCGGCGCTTCAACGAATCGAAGCACTCCTCACTAACCAGTCGACAGCCGCCACAGCAGTAGCGAATGCAGTATCAAACGCAACAGCGACAGCAGCAGCAGCGGCGACACCGACATTTCACAGACCAGTGGCACCACCTTCGCCGAACCTCGAAGCAGCTCGCCCGAAGCTCCCCAAAGCGTTCGATCCGAGCACGAAGGGATCGGACGTTCGACAATTTGTGGCAACCCTCGAAATTTACTTGGAGGACATTGGCTGTTTGACCCCGACAAATGACGCAGCAACGATTCGCCTCGCGGCGAACCTGTTGCGAGGCCCGGCACTTGAGTGGATTTACTACAGCAACGTGGTCTATAGAGAGGGAACGTGGGAGCAGTTTCGGGCAGACCTGATCGAAAGGTTTGAACCAATTAATTCAACCTACATGGCGTGACAAAGATTCACTGGTCAAAACAACGCGGGAGTGTGGCACAGTACACGCAGCAGATGGGGCAGTTATTTAATCGCATCACCGTCCTGGCCGAAGGCGAAAAAATCCAAGCGTACACCGAGTGGCTGAAAATGGAGATACGCCGACGGGTCATCACTGCGAAATACAGTAGCTAGGGCGACATGGTACATGCAGCTGAGCGATACGACGTGTTGACGCATGGTCAACCCGAAACACGACGCTACGTGCCAAACAGTTCTTTCGGCACAGAGCGATCGGCAACCCCCACGTTCGCCAAAACGATGGATGTCGACAGAATCAACGTGAAGCCACGGCCAGAAAAATGTGAATTTTACGGCGCAGCTGGAGATCAAACTCTGTCGTGTTACAAAATCAAGAAAGCACATGCGGAGTTGCAAGGCAACAACAGTGCAGCACCCCAGAAGTAAAAAAATGGGAATCGCCAGTAGCCACGGATCGACCTGGCGATCACGTGAAGATCCGAAAAGAGAAAAACGGCGACGACGTGGCGACTGCGGAGAGAGCAAAAAAAGGAAAAAATGATAGCGCGACTTTAAAACGTCACGACCGGCCAGCACCAGGGGAATTCACTGGGAAAAAAGGAGGCTCCACAAAAATATACTCCGCACCAATTGGTTTTCAAGCCTTGGAAAATAATATTACTTCTCGTGGTTTTCAAGCCTTGGAAAAAATCAGGGGAGAGTTAGAGTCCAAGAAAAAGCCTCGGTAAGTTATACACTCACACTTAGTACCAACCATATACGTAATTAACGCACTTACACTTAGTTTTAACCATATGGTTAGGTTGACGCATTAACTCATAGTACCAACCATATGGGTAAGTAACGCACTTATTCTTCATACCATCCATATGGGTATATAACGCACTCGCTCTTAGCACCAACCATATAGGTAAGTAATGCACATACTTTAGTGCTAACCATATGAGTAAGTTACGCACTTACTCTTCGTACCAACCATACAGGTAAGTACATAACTTACTCTTAGCACTAACCACATGTGTAAGTTGCGTACTGGCATTTAGTACCAACCATATGGGTAAGTAATTTACTTACACTTGGTACCAACCATATGGGTAAGTAACGCACTTAATGTAAGAACCAACCATAAGTGTAAGTAACGCACATACTCATAACCGCAATTAAACATCCTTTGGATGGGACCTTAGCAGCTCTTATTATATATAATTCATTTGTACTACGTTCCTGGGAAATGATCCTAATCTGATATATGTTTTCCATGATAGCCATAAATTGTACCAACCCTAATCGGATGTAACGCACCTACTTTTAGTTGTAACTATATGGGTAGGTAACGCACATACTCGTAGTACCAACCATATGGGTATGTAATGCACTAACTCTTAGTACCAACCATAAAGGTAAGGAACACACTTACTCTTAGTGCCAACCATAATCGTACGTAACACACTTACGTTTGGTACTAACCAAATGGGTAAAAAACACACTTAATCTTCATACAAACCATATGGGTAAGTAAAGCACCTACTCTTAGTACCAGCCATATGGGTAAGTAACGCACTTAATCCTACTACCAACCCTATGCGTAAGTAATGTTGGTGTAAGGGCCTAATTGTGAGAATATTGACGAGAGAAATTGAAGTGAGAAAGGATGATTGCACTAGAAAGCAATTGGGTACATATAGGAAACCCTAACAGGGTTGTACTCACTATTGAGTACCCCACTGCAGACTAGAGAAACATGATATTCTGACACACCCCCATAGTCAAAGTGGGGTATGATCAGCACAAGAAGCAAAGCAAAGCAAGCTCAGGGTGGATCACAATGTCACCACACATTCTGAGCACAAGTACAAGACGCAACAGTTTATAGTTCACAGCAAATAAGTAAAGCTAGAGGCTATCACAGAGGGCAAGTGAGGAGGAGGAGGCTGGACTAATAGGAAAGGAGAGAGGGGGCAACGGCGGAAGCTGCAGACACACGGGCAACAGGAGCGGCTCGCACTGTGGCTACCGGAGGCGCACCTCCAGACTACAGGAGTAACTGACTCTGCGGCTAAGACGAGCGGCAGGAGCAACGGACCCACGGGCGACTGGCGCAGCGGCATCACTGGGCTACCGGAAGCGCACCTCCGACTACTAGCACTGCTAGCAACACGACGGCTACCTCCACCCAACCTCCCTCTACTGCCGCACCCCCCATTCACACACCCCCTGCTACACCCCTAGGTTCACTCACACCCCACCCCCTAGCATCACTCCGTCGACTCACACACACCCACCCCCCTCAGCGGCAGCTGCAGCAGTGGGAGACGGAGTAGGAGGAGGAGCAGGGGATGCCACACACCCGCCACCCCCATACCCTCCCCCACTGCTGCACCTGCAGCAGGGGATGGAGGAGAAGGGGCGGGGGGGGGGGGGGGGGGGGGGGGGGGGGGGTGCTGTGCATGGCGCGTGCAGAGGGCAGCAGGGCGCACGGGCTGCACAGGGCAGCAGGGCAGCAGGGCGCGCGGGGCGCACAGGGCTGCAGGGCGCGCGGGGCGCACAGGGCAGCAGGGCAGCAGGGCGCACGGGGCGCACAGGGCAGCAGGGCGCGCAGGGCACAGCAGGGCTGGCGGGTTGGCCACACCCGCCACCCCCATACCCTCCCCCACTGCTGCACCCGCAGCAGAGAGATGGGGGAGGGGGCGGGGGGGCAGGCAGGTGCTGCAGGTCCCCTCCCCCCACTGCCGCATCCGCACCAGGGGGATGGCAGATCCCCTCCCCCCACTGCTGTACCCGCAGCAGGGGGAGGTAGGTGAAAGGGAGGGGGGGGGGGGGGTGGGGGGGGGCAGGTGCTGCAGGTCCCCTCCCCCCCTCTGCTGCTCCCCCAGCCAACACTGCACCAGAGGCGGCTGCACCAGGGGCAGCTGCTCCAGGGGCTGCTGCACCAGGGGCGGCTGCTCCAGGGGCGGCTGCACCAGGGGCGGCTGCACCAGGGGCGGCTGCTCCAGGGGCGGCTGCACCAGGGGCGGCTGCTCCGACGCGTGGCCCCCCCCCCAGGTCGCCCCTCCCGTCGCCTGTTGAGGCGACCTGAGGGGGGGGGGGGGGGGGGGGGGGGGGGGGGGGGGCAGGCAGGTGCTGTAGGTCCCTTCCCCCCACTGCCGCATCCGTTCCAGGGGGATGGCAGATCCCCTCCCCCCCACTGCTGCACCCGCAGCAGGGGGAGGGAGAGGAGAAAAGGGCGGAGAGGAGGGGGGGTCCAGGGGCGGCTGCTCCAGGGGCCAGGGGCCAGGGGCGGCTGCTGAGGTCCAGGAGCGGCTGCACCAGGGGCGGCTGCTCCAGGGGCGGCTGCTCCAGGGGCGGCTGCTCCAGGGGCGGCTGCACCAGGGGCGGCTGCACCAGGGGCGGCTGCTCCAGGGGCTGCTGCACCAGGGGCGGCTGCTCCAGGGGCGGCTGCACCAGGGGTGGCTGCACCAGGGGCGGCTGCTCCAGGGGCGGCTGCACCAGGGGCTGCTGCACCAGGGGCGGCTGCTCCAGGGGCGGCTGCACCAGGGGTGGCTGCACCAGGGGCGGCTGCTCCAGGGGCGGCTGCACCAGGGGCTGCTGCACCAGGGGCGGCTGCTCCAGGGGCGGCTGCACCAGGGGTGGCTGCACCAGGGGCGGCTGCTCCAGGGGCGGCTGCACCAGGGGCGGCTGCTCCGACGCACGGCCCCCCCCTCCAGGTCGCCCCTCCCGTCGCCTGTTGAGGCGACCTGAGGGGGGGGGGGGGGGGAGTACGGGGGGCCGACGCGCGGCCTCCCAGGGCGCCAGAGCAGGCGGAAGAAAGGGCGACGCGTGCCCCCCCAGGTCGCCCCTCCCGTCGCCTTGCGTGGCGAGCGGGGGGGGGGGGGGGGGGGCGCACGCGGCCTGGGCAGGGTCGGGGCATGGCAGGGGCAGGGCCGCGATAGGGCCGCGACAGGGTCGGGGCAGGGCCGTGACAGGCTCGGGACAGGGGCGGCGCAGGGCCGGGGCAGAGCCGGGGCTGAGCCGGGGCAGGGCCGGGGCAGGGCCGGGACAGGGCCGGGGCGAGGCCGCGACAGGTCCGGGGCAGGGCCGGGGCCGGGCCGCAGCAGTGCAGGAGCAGGGCAGGGGCAGGGCAGGGGCAGGGTAGGGGCAGAGCCGGGGCCGGGTCGGAGCAGGGCCGTAGAAGGGGCCGGGACAGGGCTGCGACAGGGCCGCAGCAGGGCCGCGACAGGTCGGGGTAGGGCCGGGGCAGGGCCGGAACAGGGCCGCAACAGGGTGGGTGGGGGCCTGACGGGGCCTGACGGGGCCGCTAACAGGGCCTTACGGGGCCGTAAACGGGGCCGACGGGGCCTTACGAAGCCTTACGGGGCCTTAAGCGGGGCCGTAAACGGGGCCTTACGGGGCCTAACGGGGCCTTACGGGGCCATAAACGGGGCCGACGGGGCCTTACGGGGCCGTACGGGGCCTTAAGCGGGGCCGTAAACGGGGCCTTACGGGGCCTAACGGGGCCTTAAGGGGCCTTACGGGGCCATAAACGGGGCCGACGGGGCCTTACAAGGCCTTACGGGGCCTTAAGCGGGGCCGTAAACGAGGCCTTACGGGACCTAACGGGGCCGTACAGGGCCTTACGGGGCCGTAAACGGGGCCGACGGGGCCTGACGGGGCCGTAAACGGGGCCGACGGGGTCTTAAGGGGCCGTACGGGGCCGTAAGTGGGGCCGTAAACGGGGCCTTACGGGGCCGTAAACGGGGCCTGACGGGGCCTTAAGGGTAGGCGCGACGCGCGCGGCAGGAAGGTGAGGAAAAAAAAAGTTGAAGACGTGGTGGGCCCTTAGGATCGAAAGTTGCTCTATACCATGTGAGAATATTGACGAGAGAAATTGAAGTGAGAAAGGATGATTGCACTAGAAAGCAATTGGGTACATATAGGAAACCCTAACAGGGTTGTACTCACTATTGAGTACCCCACTGCAGACTAGAGAAACATGATATTCTGACACTAATAAACTCAGGCTATTAAGACGTTCTCCAACTTAAAACCTCTCCTCGGGGTCCCTGGGTGCTTGGTACCAGACCAGTCCCTATCCTCGGGTCCGAGTTTGTAGAGAGAGGGATCAAGAAGGACTTAGTCAAAACAGCAAGAGTACCTTGAACGTCGCGCAGCGTGCCGTGCAGACCGTCGATCGGATTAAGCTGAGAAATCGCTATATCGAAGCTCACTCTAAGAGCTTTCAAAAGAGCCAAGTTGCCTCACGAAAAGTTCTGCCATTGCAGAGTTACGAAATGGACAGCGTTGGCCTAGCGTCCTAGTGCTAGCGTACTAGCATTGACTCGGTAGCATTCCGCCGTCGCACCGCATAGAAACGAAATTCCAGCAAGGAAGGAATTCGCTTGAATCAATTTGAATATATATATTCAGGTACAAACAGAGAAGGAATATATAGTTCTAGCTAGCTAGGACCTTGGGAATCAACCTGGGAACAACCAGGGATGATCCCAGATAATTCCAAGCAACAGAACCAACCTGGTTGGAAAAAACAGCAGGTGGTAGGTTGGTAAACAACCTCTGATTCTGTTTTTCCAACCTGGGAAAACAACAACCAGGTTCAGGTCCTAAAAACAGAACCTGTTTTGTCTTTGCCCAACCAGCCAAATGCTGGTTCCGCTGGTTTCCCCTGGCCCTGTAGCATGCAGATACTGACAAACAACATCCAACCTTCACCTAAATTGTACCCCGATACTGCCTGCCCTGCTACACTATAGTCAACCAAACAAAACAGTACAATTTTGAGTTGGATAGAACTGAATCTGCGCAATCAATTCAACCGAACTGCAGAGCTTCCATCTTGGGTTCCTTTGCGAGCTCGTCCTTTCTGCTTGCACTGTTCATAGCGAGTACAATGTTGTGCCAAAGCGCACATTGCACGAGTACCTGCAAATGCATCAAGAAAAAATTGCGAAAGCAAACAAACACACGAACATTCCATTCACACCCAAATGCATTCGCACACGCATACTAGTACAAACGGACAGCAGGATGTCGTGCAATGTGAATTTGCACCCAACAAGTGACGCACTTACTCTTAGTACCAACCATAGATGAAAGGCACTTATTGTTAGAACCATTGATATCAGTATTTAACGCACTCACTCGTAGTACCAACCATTTGGGTAAGTAACGCACATTCTCTTAGTACTAACAATATGGATCAGTAAAGCACTTATTTCTTGTGCTATCCATGTGGATAAGACCCCGCTCTACTTGTAATACTAACCATATGGGTAAGTACCGCACTTACTCCTAGTACCAGCCATATGGGTAAGTCTCGTACTTACTCCTATTGCCATCCATATGGGTAGTCAACGCACTTACTTCTAGTACCAACCATATGGGTAAATGACGCACTGACTCCTAGTACGACCCATATGGGTAAGTATCGCACATAATCGTAGATTCAATTATATGGGTAAGTAACGCACTTACATTTGGTACCAACGATACGTGTAGGTAACGCACTTACTCCTAGTATCACCATATGGGTAAGTAACGCACTAGGTCTTAGTACCAACCATAAGGGTAAGTAACGCATTTTCTCTTAGTACCAACCATATGGGTAAGTAACGCACATACTCTTAGTACCAACCAGATGGGTAAGTAACGCATTTACTCTTTGTACCAACTACATGGGTAAGTAACGCACATACTCATTAGTACCAACCATATGGGAAAGCAACTTACTTACTCGTAGTACCAACCATATGGGTAAGTTGCACGCTTACTCTTAGTACCAACCATATGGGTAGGTAACACACACACTCGTAGTACCAACCATATAGGTAAGTAACGCATTTACTCTTGGTACCAACCATATGAGAAAGTAACGCACATACTCCTAGTACCAACTATAGGGGTAAGTAACTTACGTACTCTTAGTACCAACCATATAAGTAAGTGACGCACTTACTCTAGGTACCAACTATATGGTTAAGTAACGCATATACTCGTAGTACCAACCATATAGGTAAGTAATCACTTATTATTTGTACTAACATTATGAGTAAGTAACACACTTACTCTTTGTACCAACCATATAGTTAAGTAACACACTTACTTTGGGTACCAATCATATGGGTAAGTAACGCACATACTCTTACCACCAACCATACGGGTAAGTAACGTACCCACTCCTAGTACCAAACGTATGGGTACGTAATACACTTACTCTTAATTACAACCATTTGGGTAAGTAACGCACACACTCGTAGTACTAATAATATGGGTAAGGAATGCATTTACTCTTTGTACCAACCTTATGGGTAAGTAACGCACTTACTATTAGTTCTAACCGTGTAGGTAAGTAACGAATTTTCTCTTTGTACCAACCATATGTATCAATAGTGCACTTACTCTTGGTACCAACCAGATGGGTAAGTAACGCACTTACTATTAGTACTAACCATATGGATAAGTAACGCACTCACTCTTTGTACCAACCATATGGGTAAGGAACGCACTTAGTACACACCATATTGTTAAGGAGTGCACTTAGGGAAATTACTACCTCGGTATGCACGTGAAGAGGGATCTGTATCACATGTTGTTGAAGCTGCAATAGGAGAAGTTCATCAAGCAGCTGGGGGAGAAGTATGGGATTGAGAATATGTGCTAGGTTGCAATTCCCCTGCCTGCAAAATTCAAGCTTGTGAAGGCTGCTGAGGATGAAGGGGTTGAAGCCAAGGAGCAGCAGAACTTTCGGTCCTTGTTTTTCAGCCTCTTGTTTGCAACAGATCACACAAGGCCTGACATTTCATT